CAGACCCTATGGTTTTTAAACTGGTCTTCCCATAAGTGAATTGCAACTACGATGGGAAAGAATCTGCGTCGTCTCCAGGGAAGAAAGGGGCGAGCCAAGGGCTGCCCTGACCTTAAGTGGCCTTACGAAGGCCCGCCCCTGCCGCCAGCCGATTGGCTGGCGCCACAGGGTATGCTAATTGGGGGAATCCCTGTCTCCCGCGAGGCTGGCGCCAGCCTCGCGAGAGCGAGTGTGGGCGGGGTCGTGATCCCACAACCCCCCCTCCTCTTGATGATCGGAAGGGGCATTGTAAAACAGTGATTGAATTCCCCCCTAAACCTCAGGCTTTTATATACAGTGGTACCTCGGGTTAAGTACTTAATTCATTCTGGAGGTCCATTCTTAACCTGAAACTGTTCTTAACCTGAAGCACCACTTTAGCTAATGGGGCCTCCTGCTGCTGCTGCGCCGCCAGAGCACGATTTCTGTTCTCATCCTGAAGCAAAGTTCTTAACCCAAGGTACTATTTCTGGGTTAGCGGAGTCTGTAACCTGGAGCGTATGTAACCTGAAGCTTATGCAACCCGAGGTAACACTGTACTTTATTTACACAATGAGTCCCATCTGATTGGCTGATTCTGCTTCCCTCCTGGAGCCTGATTGGGCTGCTACTGCTGGCAGGGGAATGATGGGAAAACTTAACTGGATTTTAAGATGCTGTGTCTCTCTTGAAAAGGTTTTCCATGATGGTTGCGTTACACAGTCGTTAGGCTCTCTTTGGTCGGAAGCTGGATCTGTCGCATCTGCAACCAGATGTTCAGAGAAATCTAGCTGGACAGTCACCCACCCAAAACCACTGAGGCAAATCATCTGCAACCCCAGCTGGAGGGGCTTGGAGCCTGACTTGCGTGGCGAGTTCCCGCCTCCCACCAGTAGGAATAAAGACACACGACACAATTATTTTAGGTTAATGGGCTAAAATTGGTCACAACTTTATTGGTTACAGGTAAAGAGCGGTATTAGGGACACGGGTGGCGCTGTGGGTTAAAGCCTCAGCGCCTAGGACTTGCCGATCGAAAGGTCGGCGGTTCAAATCCCCGCGGCGGGGTGCGCTCCCGTTGCTCGGTCCCAGCGCCTGCCAACCTAGCAGTTCGAAAGCACCCCCAGGTGCAAGTAGATAAATAGGGACCGCTTACTGGCGGGAAGGTAAACAGCGTTCCGTGCGCTGCGCTGGCTCGCCAGATGCAGCTTGTCACACTGGCCACGTGACCCGGAAGTGTCTCCGGACAGCGCTGGCCCCCGGCCTATAGAGTGAGATGAGCGCACAACCCTAGAGTCTGTCAAGACTGGCCTGTACGGGCAGGGGTACCTTTACCTTTACCTTAAAGAGCGGTATTGGCTTAGGCATTGGTCCTATCCGACTATCCGGCTTCAGCCTGTTTGCTTGAAGACCGGGAAGGGTTAACACCAGCAGGGGGAGCCCTGCTGATGCACATCAACTAGGCACTTCCCCGGGGTCACCGCTCGGGGGCGCGCTTTAGGCCCTGGCCTCCATAGGCTTCGGAATCCTTTACCGGACTACCCTTCACTAACCGGGGGAGGTGATGGCGCTCCCCCCCCCATTCATCTGCATAACAATACCCCTAACAATGCCTAACTGCCAATGCCGAGAAGTTGTGACGATTTGCTACGAGGTAGGCGAAAAACCAAATGGCCGGTGCCAATTTGCCAAGTGGAAAAATTCCTATCAAGCCCCTAACGGCGACCAACCGAGGTCCATAACAAGGTCAGAAGGGGAACCTTGAAGGGAGGGCGGGCGGGAAACAACAGCAGCTGAGTGGACCAAAGAGGGAGATCCCGGGGCCGCGCTTGCCTTAAGTGAGGCAAGCCACACACCCTGAGCCAGCCAATTGGCTGGCCAGGGGATGACGCGGCCCGAGGATTCCCTAGATCACACGGGGGCTTGAAGCCAGCCTCCGTGCGCATGTTGGGAGGGTGAAGCCCGCAACACCACCTCCTTCTGAAGTCGGAAGTGGCTTTCTCTCAGGCTTTCCCCCCAAACTGGTGCTATTTGAGAGTGATACCATGCAAACTGTGCAGTTTAAATGGGAATGCAAACAACACACAGTAAACTCTGGAGCAGTCAAGACCTGTATTTTTATACCAATTTCCCGAAAGGAATCCCGGGAATTTGTGTGGGGTTTAGTGGACCCCACACAAAGCTGTAGTTTCCTAGGATGCACAGGAAGAGGGAGCAGATATTATAGCAGTTTAAATCTCTAGTTGAAGCCAGACCTTGAGGCTGTTCAAGCCAGCGGCATGAGTAGATCTGCTGAAATTAATAAGCATGAATAAGTTAGGGTCCATTAATTTCAATGGGTCTACTCTGTGTAAAACCTACTTGACTACCACCCCTGATCCTAAGCAGCTTTACTCAGAATTAAATCCCATTTAAATTAATTTAGTTCATTGGACCTTCATTGGTCCCATTTAGTTCATTGGGTATGTGTAGGATTGCAGCCTTAAAAAGTGTTGGGTTCACCTAATTAATGATCCCTCCCTCCTTATCGCATGCTGTATGTGTACAATCTGCATCAAGACTGGAGGCGAGGGAATAGTTTTGTCAAAGATCTGGACATGGTTTTTATGGAAAACAGGGTTTTGATATTGTTTCGAAATCATGTCTAATCAGGCGTGTGTGCTTACAACATCTCAAACCTCTTTCAACTCTCCTCCGCTATGAAGCACAGAGCTAATAAAATAATGGTTTAAATAGAGCCAATTTGTCTTAAGCAGGTAAGGACCCAACTAACTGTTAAGTAAAGGTAAAGGTACCCCTGCCCGTACGGGCCAGTCTTGACAGACTCTGGGGTTGTGCGCCCATCTCACTCAAGAGGCCGGGGGCCAGCGCTGTCTGCAGACACTTCCGGGTCACGTGGCCAGCGTGACAAGCTGCATCTGGCGAGCCAGCGCAGCACACGGAAACGCCGTTTACCTTCCCGCCAGTAAGCGGTCCCTATTTATCTACTTGTACCCGGGGGTGCTTTCGAACTGCTAGGTTGGCAGGCGCTGGGACCGAGCAACGGGAGCGCACCCCGTCGCGGGGATTCGAACCGCTGACTTTTTGAACGGCAAACCCTAGGCGCTGAGGCTTTTATTTGTACTTAAAATACACAAACCAAAACTGGCTGCTTTCTTCTTTTGCAGAAAAGGCAGTCTCAGTATCCCATTCTGGACAATGCTCCCAAGTCAGAATGAGGCTAAATATTGCTCCCCCAAGGTGTTTTTTATTACAAATTACACCTTTGGGAGCAAAGGGCAGCCGGGAAAGGGGGTGAAGGTGAGGCAGAAAACTCAGTCCAGTATACCTGAAGGAGCGTCTCCACCCCCATCATTCTACCCGGACACTGAGGTCCAGTGCAGAGGGCCTTCTGGCGGTTCCCTCATTGTGAGAAGCAAAGCTACAGGGAACCAGGCGGAGGGCCTTCTCGGTAGTGGCACCTGCCCTGTGGAATGCCCTCCCACCAGATGTCAAAGAGAACAACAACTACCAAACTTTTAGAAGACATCTGAAGGCAGCCCTGTTTAGGGAAGCTTTTAATGTTTAATAGGTTATTGTATTTTAGTGTTTTGTTGGAAGCCGCCCAGAGTGGCTGGGGAAACCCAGCCAGATGGGCGGGGTATAAATAATAAATTATGATGATGATGATGATGATGAAGATGATGATGATGACAAGGGCCCCCAATTTGGATCAGGTGCACATTCTGAAGCAGACCCCACCCTCACCCACCGCAACTGCTTTTTCTTAGGCATTGCTGGCAGAATTATCTCTTTCACCTCCTAAAGGGCAAAAGGAGACAGTCCGGGGTGAGATCTCCTGGGGATCGGGGAGGTGTGTGTGTGCTGGATAATTTTTCTGACCCCCATCAGATTGCCATTCATTCCTCCCTGCCTCTAAAGTGAGTTTTGCAGAAATATTAAATGCGGTGGGTGGGGATCAGGGTCATTTCTTTGCTTTATGTTATCTTTCTAACATATGGGTTAAAGCCTCAGCGCCTAGGGCTTGCCGATCGAAAGGTCGGCGGTTTGAATCCCCGCGGCGGGGTGCGCTCCCATTGCTGGGTCCCAGCGCCTGCCAACCTAGCAGTTCGAAAGCACCCCCGGGTGCAAGTAGATAAATAGGGACCGCTTACCAGCGGGAAGGTAAACGGCGTTCCGTGTGCTGCGCTGGCTCGCCAGATGCAGCTTTGTCACGCTGGCCACGTGACCCGGAAGTGTCTCCGGACAGCGCTGGCCCTCAGCCTCTTGAGTGAGATGGGCGCACAACCCTAGAGTCTGGCAAGACTGGCCCGTACGGGCAGGGGTACCTTTATCTTTTTCTATCTTTCTAAAACTAGAAGGCAAGTAAATTTCTAAGTTTAAAAAGCCTCTCCACAGTGGTACCTCTAGTTACGGACTCGATCCATTTCGGGGTGCCATTCGCACCCTGAAAAGTCCATAACTAGAGTGCTGCTTCTGCACGTGTGTGAAGTGTGCAGAACTCTTCTGCGCATGTGCGAAGCATGCAGAATGCTTCTGCGCACACACGTGCGGCGAAACCCGGAAGTACAGTGGTACCTCTGGATATGAACGGGATCCGTTCTGGAGCCCCATTCGCATCCTGAAGCGGATGCAACCACGCGTCTGTGCATGCGCGGGTCGTGATTTGTCGCTTCTGCGCATGCGTGCGACGTCATTTTGACTGTGCATGCGCGAGCGGCAAAACCCGGAAGTAATGCATTCTGTTACTTCTGGGTCACCGTGGAGCGCAACCGGAAAACGCTCAACCTGAAGCAACTTCAAGCTGAGGTATGACTGTATACACTTCCGGGTTTCCCGCGTTCGCAAGCCAAAAAGACGCAAAAGTGAACCTAACACAACACAAGGTGTGACTGTACTTCTTCAGAATATGTAATGTTCAGATCATGACAAAAGTCTTGTTATTGGGAAAGAAACTGGACTAAGAAGATGTTCTTTGGCAGGTTGCGGGACACGAGTGGAAAGATCCGTGGAGAGAATCTATGGAGGAAACATTGCTGTGGAAGGGGAATGGCCGTGGCAAGCCAGTCTTCAGCTGAACGGCATCCATCGCTGTGGCGCAACACTGATCGGTGATATATGGCTTTTAACTGCAGCTCACTGCTTTAGAGGGTGAGAAGATCTCTCCCCCTACCTCCCAGCCTTGCTAAAACTGTATCTAGGTTCTGCACCAACATTACATGAGTAATCAGAATCTTTAAAAAGCTATCTCATCACGTACAGCCTCTACCCCAGCTATATATATGTTCAAAACATATGAAATTGATGCTTACCGTATTTTTCACTCTATAGGACACACTTTTCCCCCTCCAAAAATTAAGGGGAAATGTGTGTGCGTCCTATGGAGCGAATGCAGGCTCCTTGGCTTCAGCCATAGCAACGCGAAGCCTCCGAAGCGCAGAGGGAGCACTCCCTCCGCGCTCCAGAGGCTTTGTGTTGCTTTCGCTGAATCCTGGAGAGCGAGAGGGGTCAGTGCGCACCGACCCCTCTCGCTCTCCAAGCTTCAGGGATAGCCGCCTGAAGCCTCCGGAGGGCAGCGGAAGCTCCTGCTGCGCTCCAGAGGCTTTGGGTTCCTTTTGCTGAAGCCAGGAGAAAAAGACTCTCCTGGCTTCAGCAGAGAGGGAGAGCTGCGCAGCGCCCCTTCAGTGAAGCAGGAGGAGAAATGGAAGGGGCTCCGTTTCTCCTGCCGCTTCGCTGAAGGGGCGCTGAGCAGAGAGGGGGAGATTTTTCTTCTTCTTGTTCTCCCCCTCTAAAACAAGGTGCGTCCTATGGTCCGGTGCGTCTTATAGAGCAAAAAATACGGTAGTTATTTTGCCCCCGCTCAAGGTTCTCCCATCCTGGCTTTCTTTTTTCCAAGTTGGAGTTATTTCTGGCCAGGGAGACCTCAGGGGGGAGAACTGTGGAGCCAAATCAGTAGGAAAGGGGAGAATTCTCCGCTACACAATCCCCTCTTTTGCCTTAATATTAACTTCTTGTTAAGAAAGGCTAGAGAGCAATAAAACTCTATATGCATGTTGAGTAGAATGGATTATTACTGTATCACTCTCAAATGTGTTTTAGAGTGAGGGATCTCCGTAGCTGGACAGCTAGTTTTGGGGCCCGCTTAAACCCTCCACTACTCAGAAGGAACCTTCGCCAGATCATCGTCCATGAGCAATACGCCGAGAGCGTCATGAGACATGAGTTTGACATTGCTGTCGTGCAGCTCGCGTACCCAATTCAGTTTACGGCAGCTGTGCACCGCATCTGTCTCCCGGAGGCATCGTATATCTTTCCAGAAAACATCACCTGCTTCGTCACGGGATATGGTGCTCTGAGAGATGAAGGTCAGTAAACTATCTGTTCAGCTTAAACACAGACGTTGACTTTCAAGGTGCAGTTGCTGTGGCAAGGCCGGTTCCAAGTCACAGAGTGACATTCCCCCTGCTGGGCTCTCCCATGGCAGGTCCAATCCCAAACCACCAGTTAGAGAAGAAGAAGAAGAGTTTGGATTTGATACCCCGCTTTATCACTACCCTAAGGAGTCTCAAAGCAGCTAACATTCTCCTTTCCCTTCCTCCCCCACAACAAACACTCTGTGAGGTGAGTGGGGCTGAGAGACCTCAGAGAAGTGCGACTGGCCCAAGGTCACCCAGCAGCTGCGTGTGGAGGAGCGGAGATGCGAACCCGGTTCCCCAGATTACGAGACTACCGCTCTTAACCACTACACCACACTGGCTCTCCAAGTTATCCAAAGAGAGCAAAGATATGAGTACAGGGAAGGTGTTGCTCCTGCCACTACAAGCAGTGGCATGAAATAGGAGTGTGTGGAGCAGGACCTGCGTGGGCCCAAACCTTCCAGAGGACCCCATCTCCCACTTCATGGAAGTGGCTGCTACTCCGCAGAAGCACCTGATCCAAAGTTGGGTTTGGTAGACCGTCCTGAGGTGCCAATGCCATAAAGGGGATGCAGGTGACACTGTGGTCTAAACCACTGAGCCTCTTGGGCTTGCCAATCGGAAGGTCAGCGGTTCAAATCCCCACAACGGAGTGAGCTCCCGTTGCTCTGTTCCAGCTCCTGTCAACCTAGCAGTTCAAAAGCATGCCAGTGCAAGTAGATAAATAGGTACCACTCCGGCGGGAAGGTAAACGGCATTTCCATACGCTCTGGTTTCCATCATGGTGTCCCACTGCACCAGAAGTGTTTTAGTCATGCTGGCCCCATGACCCGGAAACCTGTCTGTGGACAAATGCTGGCTCCCTCAGCCTGAAAGCGAGATGAGCAACCCCATAGTTGCCTTTGACTGGACTTAACTGTCCAGAGGTCCTTTACCTTTATCTTTTACCTTGCCAATGCCATAACTCTGGCCCTGACCATGCCCTGAGTCCAGCTGTGCAACTTGTATTAAAGACCTACCTGTCAATCTCACTACATCCCTTGTAAGCAAGGGAAGGTGTCTGCTTGTTATTGTTTTCAATGTAATGTGTGTCGTTGGAAAAATAAAATACGGTAGTTGCAAATGTACTGTGTGGATTGGGGTGAGTAGGAGAGGTTTGCTGGAGATCTCAAAGCCTAAGAAGGACACACTGGTAACGACACACACGACGTAACAGGCTGTATGTAACAGTGTAACTTCTGTTTCAAAAAACAATTCAACATATCATGTCACAATATGTAATTCCATAGACCAAATTATCTTATGAGCGGAACATATTCTGAAAGATTAAAGTCCAGCTGATTGCTCAGGAGATACAGTCTATTCAGTTCTTATATTAGCAATAACCACGAGGTGGAATGCTTTGAATTGTGCTCACAAATGTACTGGGAGCCAATGTAGGTCTTTCAGGACCAGTGTTATGTGGTCTCGGTGGCCGCCCCCAGTCACCAGTCTAGCTGCCACATTCTGGATTAGTTGTAGTTTCCGGGTCCCCTTCAAAGGTAGCCCCACATAGAGCGCATTGCAGTGGTCTGAGCGAGAGATAGCTAGAACATGCACCACTCTGGCGAGACAGTCCGCGGGCAGGTTGGGTCTCAGCCTGCGTACCAGATGGAGCTGGTAGACAGCTGCCCTGGATACAGAATTGACCTGTGCCTCCATGGACAGCTGTGAGTCCAAAATGACTCCCAGGCTGTGCCCCTGGTCCTTCAGGGGCACAGTTACCCCATTCAGGACCAGGGAGTCCTCCACACCAGCCCGCCCCCTGTCCCCCAAAAACAGTACTTTTGTCTTGTCAGGATTCAACCTCAATCCATTAGCCGCCATTCATCCTCCAACCGCTTCCAGACACTCGCACAGGATCTTCACCGCCTTCATTGGTTCTGTTTTAAAAGAGAGGTAGAGCTTGAGTATCTGTATCAAGTCTGGCCAAACCAGAGGTTTCATATTGCCACCCATATTATTTTGGAACTAGGTCCCAGCGTCGGCGAACTTCGCCAAACAGAAGTGAAAATCATAGGCAATGAGATTTGCAACAGATGGAACGTGTACAATGGTGCCATTTCGGCAGGGATGCTTTGTGCTGGGTACCTGGAAGGAGGGAGCGATGCCTGCCAAGTAAGTCCAATAGCTTAATAGTAGAAGGATGCAGGGAGAGAAATCCATGCAGCTTGCATTTTAATGCAACGTATCTAATTTGCAGCTCCAAAGCCAGCATGTGGCTCTAAACCAGGGGTTGGCAAACTATGGTCCGTGGGCCAGATTCAGCCCAATTGCCCTAAGGATTCGCTGAAGGGGCACTGGGCAGAGAGGGGGAGAATTTTTTTTTCTTGTTCTCCTCCTCTAAAACAAGGTGTGTCCTATGGCCGGGTGTGTCCTATAGAGCAAAAAATACGGTACCCACTGTTTCGTGGAATTCTTCTTCAGCACAGCAGAAGGATACGGAAATGCTTCATAAACGGCAAATTAATTATTGAAACGATGACCTGCATATGCATGGTAACTTACAATAACTCAAATTATTATAAACAGTACGCATGAACTATAATGTCAATTCAATGTGAAATGAAACCAAAAGTACATACCCCATCTATATGGTGAATGGAATTGTATAACACCAATTGCTATGGAGCAGTGGTCATAAAGTTATGTACCGTATTTTTCGCTCTATAAGATGCACCTAGTTTTTGGAGGAGGAAAAAGAAAAAAAATATTCTGAATCTCAGAAGCCAGAACAGCAAGAGGGATTGCTGTGCAGTGAAAGCAGCGATCCCTCTTCCTGTTCTGGCTTCTGGGATAGCTGCGCAGCCGGCATCCGCTCCATAAGACGCACACACATTTCCCCTTACTTTTTAGGAGGGAAAAAGTGAGTCTTATAGAGCAAAAAATACAGTAACCACTGCTACTAAGGGCAGTGAGGTTGGGAGAGCGCAGCGCCGACATTAGCAGCATAGGTGCTGTGATGGCTTGGGAATACTCTCCGCAAGAAAAGCTTCTGCTCACTCAGAGATACATAGATACAGTCTTTATTTTACATATGTAAAACCAGCACACATAATTATGCGTCCGAATCCTGCGAGTCAGATTCCCGGAGTGACTTACGTCCGCCCCTTTTCCAGCAGAAGAGGCGAGGCATTCTTAATTGATGTCTCTGCCCCCTCCGCTTTAACCCTCTCCTTTCCTGAGCAGACGGAACCGGCACTGCATCGCTGTCAGAGCCAGAGCTTCCTGTGTGGAGTTGAGGCTCTGCTCCAGCATCTGAGAGCCTTCCCTCCTCCTGACTTCCCCTCCTTTCCTGCACTGGCACTTCCTGCCCCCCTTCCTCTGCTTGTCTCTCCTCCTCCCCTGCGTTCTCCGGCAATACCATGACATGTAGGCAGGGACTGTGGGGGGCGGAGAGAGAAGCCCCCCTCTGCTGCACGCACGTGGTCCGACCCTCCACAAGGTCGGGGTGTGTGTGTGAACCGGCCCCCTCCTAAAAAGGTTTGCTGAGCCCTGCTCTAAACCCCTCTGCACCAAATATTATGCATATCAAAAATGGTCTTGTTTCCTCTCCTAGGGCGACTCCGGTGGTCCTCTGGTTACTCCTGATTCTAGAGGAATATGGTACCTGGTCGGCATAGTGAGCTGGGGTGAAGAATGTGCAAAGCCAAACAAGCCTGGAGTCTACACGCGAGTAACTTACTATCGGGAATGGATTGCTGCCCGCACTGGGATATGAAGCTGCAAAGGAGGATTCGCAGGCAATGTCAGAGCCTGGAAGCCCAAGACATTTGGACTATACATATATATACATATGATGCATATAGCTCCATTGTTTTGGTCCGTTCTGGTTTCAGAGCAGGCCTGGTGCCTCTACTGGAGGCATCAACACAATTCCTTGCCAAATTACGCCATGCCCACCAGCCTCATTTTATTTCACGTTCTTGGTTTTGTTTTGTTTTTTGTTTTTTTTTTTACAAGGAGAGCAATAGAGTGAGGAATACAGTTGCAACCAGCAAGAAATGTTTTGTGTGTGATTCTTTACGTCGCCAATCCGTGAAACAGTTGTACTGTTTTAATACAGTGGATCTCTTACTGCCATATCTTTTTTGATAACCTGGCTGACAGTGCTTTCTTAAAGGGGTTCACATCCCGTTTTGCTCAAGGAAATGACTACGCATAGGGACTAGGAACAGCCCAATTTGTTTCCTCCCTCTTTCAGGTCTAAATACCCCAGTCACAAATATCCCAGCTAGTAAGTCAGGAATGGTGGAGAGGGGTGAGGCAGGAAGATCGAGAAAGCACAGAGAGCCCACTGTGGTATTCTGTTACCTCGAGTGTACCCTGATGCAGAGCTGTCTTTCCCATAGGACTTAGTGGCTCGTTGCGCCAGGGCGCTGGCCTCTCAGGGGCGCCCCAGCGAGTGGGGGAGCTGCGCGGCTTTGCCGGCAGCCTCCCCTTTCCCTGCACGCTGCCAGCTGTGCCCTGCCAACCATCTTTCCTTCCTACCCTCCTCGGCCCGCCTCCCTCTGGGGGCAGGCGCATTGGCGCTGCTGCTGTTTGTGCTGCTCCCACAACCGCTCTGTGGCGGCCATGTGGGCTGTGGAGGATGAGGAGCCGCTTCTCAACTCTGAGGCAGCGGCTGAGGACGGGCCTCCTCCTCCTCCTCCTCAGCCTTGGGAATCCCCTCAGCCGCTGTTGTCTTCGTCTGAGGAAGCGGCGGGAGCGGCAGTGGTGGGAGTGGCTCCCCAGGGGCCTCCTCCGTGTCACCGGTGCCCACTGCCCCACCACCACCACTCCCCGGGGCACAGGCGGCGGTGTGGCAACTGCCTCCTGCTCCTCGGGCCCTTGGGCCGCTGGGCAGCAGAGAGAGCGCTGGCAGCAGGCTGTCGTTGTCAGGCAGCGGAGGAGGAGGAGGCGCCCTGGAGCCCCGCAAGCGAGCATGGGGTTCTGGCGGTCTGGCCAGCCGCACCGCATCCACCACATTGACAGCGTCTTCTGTGGGCAGCGGCTCCTGGGGCTAGGAGGTAGTCCGCGAGTTGGGCCCCAAGTTCTAAATTCTGAGAAAGGGAGGGGGTGCCGGAGGGATCTTTGCACCAGGGCACCAGATATGCTTAAGACGGCCCTGCCCTGATGTCAAGTTTCCCCTCAGATCCGTTGTCCTGACATCCAAGAGCGTAACAAAAGGTTCTATGAGCGCATTGTATTTCACAATGCGTGGTGCGCCTGCAAGCATCAAACCAGCATCGTGTTTTTGCTCTGCTTCCTGTGCACCTGAGGGGGCTTGGTGGACTTCTTGGGGCTATCATCAGGGCCTTGAGAAGGTGCCCCATAGAGGGCTCGCAGCATTAACATCCCAAGAAGGACTTGCTTGCATGGCGAGTTCCTGCCCCCCCCAGTGGAAATAATGACACATGACACAATTATTAAGGTTAATAGGCTAAATAAGGCCACAACTTTATTGGTTACAGGTGATGAGCGGTATTGGTTTAGGCATTGGTCCTAACTAACTCCAGTCTGTCTGCTTGAAGTCCAGGAAGGGTTAACCACCAGTAGAGGGAGTCCTGCTGATGCAAATCAACTAGGAACTCCCCCGGGGTCACCGATAGGGGGCTTGCCTTAGGCCCTCACCTCCCTAGGCTTTGGACAGGGCCACACACCTCGGAATCCTTTAACAGACTACCCTTCAATATGTAGCGCAGGTGATGGCGCTACCTCCCCTCTTCCATCTACAGAACAATACCAATGCCTAACCACCAATACCAAGAACGTTGTGACGATTTGCTACGAGGTAGGCGAAAACCAAGTGGCTGGTGCCAATTTGCCAAGTGGAAAAATTCCTACCAGGCCCCTCAAAGGCAACCAACCAAGGTCCATAGCAAGGTCAAGGAACGAAAACCTTATAGGGCGGGAGGGTGGGAAAAGCAGGAACAGCTGGCAGGCGGGGAAAGCGGGAGATCCCTGGCCGCGCCTGCGTTAAACAGGGCAGGCCATGCCCCCAGAGCCAGCTGATTGGCTGGCCAAGGAATGACGCAGCCAGGGATTCCCCCAATGGTGTGGGGGCTGGGCTCCAGCTCACACACGTGGTGGGAGCGTGTAGCCCGCAACCCCACCTCCTCTGCAGGGCGGAAGTGGCTTTCTCCAATAGCTACAGCCTTGGATTCCAGGAAAAATCAGGCATGATTCTGCCGCCTTGCTTCCAGCTCACAAAACTCACACTCCCCACTCTGGCCTTTGTCTTTCTAATTACCAGAGAGTTGGTGGAGGCCCCCACCCCCATTTTCTGTCTGGCACACAGCCACTTCCTTTGTTACCTGACTGGTCCATACTTAGAGAGCCATTGCCTCACCAGGGAGCTAGCCTGGCTTTTCCAGGAATTGAGTCAGTGCTGAATCCAGGAATTAGAAGCGCGCTCAGACATACAGACTACTGCCCCCAATCTCATAACACTAATATTTCCTACTATGCATTTTGAAGTATTTTTCTTACGGACCAACGTGGCTGCCTTTGTTGTTTCGTTAGCCAATGTTTATCTGCATTTTAATTCATCTCTTCAGCAATAGCAATAGCAATGACTGCAGTGTTCACATAAATAGGAGAGCACCTGGCTTAAAAGCAAATGTAAGCCTTGCGTTCCCATTCTAACTTCCCTCGATGGGCAGTCATTCGCTGGGAGTATACCTGAGACCTAAGTTGTTTGCTTGCCACCTCCTCTGCAAATCTGACGCAAGATTCAAGTCGCATGTTGAGATCCTTGCGTGATGCAACAGAATTAAGGTGGGAGCAGCCAAGCTTAACTCTCCTCTTCTTTTTTTTAATAGCTCGTCCATGGTGTGTTTTCCTTCCCACCTCCTTTAAACTATGCCTTGTGTTTGGAAAATGCAATAAATGTCATTCGCCAGCAAGCGAGAATATAATAGTCTGCGGTTAAAGAGTAAGAGTTAATCAATAAGGCTGCCCTGCTGGCTAATTGATCGTTGGGATAGCTCAGTTGGTAGAGCATGAGACTCGATCTCAGGGTTGTGGGTCCGGGCCCCACATTGGGCAAAAGATTCCTGCATTGGAGGGGGTTGATGACCCCCTTCCATCTCTACAATACTATGAGTCTATGAATGCAGACATTCCAGCCCAAACCCCAGCAGTATTCCTTCATCCCCATAGTCTCTCCTCACACCTGACAGCTCATCATCCTTCATGGCCTGGATTACCGCAAGAGGCCCTGCTTGTCAGATATGGATGGATGACATAGCTGTCAACTTACAGATTTGAAAATAAGGGACCAGCAGCCTCGAAAATAAGGGATCAGCAGCCAAAATAAGGAATTTTCCTAGCACAGGTATGTTCAACTTCTGAGCCCCTCCAAGCCAAAGGCAGAAAGCCCAGCCAGCAGCCAAACGAAGCCTCAAGCGGTGGTTCCCACAGCGCAGCAACCCAGCAAAGGGGATGCAGCAAGGGAAACCACCGTCACCTCTCTGCTGGGAAGCGCTGAGCAAAGGCGAGTCCCCAGGCAACGCGGCCAATTTGATCGGCGCAAGGCATGCAAGCTCCACCCCCCAGTCGTTCTTAGACTCCTTATTGGGTGAGCAACGCAGCCAAGCAACACAGTTGGAGCTTCCCTGGCCAGCAGGGAGGAGCTGCTTCCTTTGAAACCCGGGAAATTTAAGGGACATCATGAATAAGGGACAGCAGCGGGACACAGAGCTGGGATAAGGGGCTTTCCCGCCAAATAAGGGACAGTTGACAGCTATGATGGATGATACAGCCTTGTGTCGCTTATGGACTCCTGCAGGGGTTCTCCTGTGTTTTTACTTCTTGCTTCTCTGGAATCATAGGTTTGCTGTCCAGCTACAAATTACCCACTGCAGATTCAAATAAAGAATCAGGACCTGCTGTTCCGCTGCATTTTTTAGTTTATTCTATAGGAATAAGAGAATGGCACGTCAATGTCTGGCTCACCCTTCTCCATCTTGCAGCCCAGCTAGGCTGATTACTGGTCAAACTATGCATAAACAAGTGTCCAGGCCAGCAGATTCTTCCCTACAGATGCCAACACCCATTGCACTGACAATCCACTAGAGGGCACTGCTATATAGTTGCAGCTGTAGCGTTTTAAGTGTGTTTTAAGTGCATTATACAAACGTGACACTAGATGGCGCTGATGAGCTAATGGCGAATTCCATATATATTTTTCGTTTTTAACAAAAGCATTTTCACAGTGTTTTCTTAAATACAGTGGTGCCTCGCAAGATGAAAAGAATCCGTTCCGCGATTCTCTTCGTCTAGCGTTTTTTTCGTCTTGCGAAGCAACCCCATTAGCGGCTAAGAGGATTAGTGCTATTAGCGATTTAGCGGCTTAGCGGCTATTAAAGGATTAGCGGCTAAGCTGCTAAAAGGCTATTAGTGGCTTAGCGGCTTTGAAAATGGGGGGGAAAGCGGGGGGGGGGGGGAATGGCGAGACTCGGAAGACTTTTTCGTCTTGCGAAGCAAGCCCATAGGGAAATTCGTCTTGCGAAGCGCCTCTGAAATGGAAAACCCTTTCGTCTAGCGGGTTTTCCGTCTTGCGAGGCATTCATCTTGCGGGGCACCACTGTATCTGTGTAGACCCATTCCCGGTCTTCCAGAACGACACAGTAAGCCCAGTAGCCAGGAACGTAACTCATCCCTCTGGTCATTGCCAGTTCCTGGAGTGGCTAGCTGGCAAGAAAATTATTCACGCTTGTGCTATGCCAAAACCTTCTCCTGCACTCGAAATGAAAACAGAAACTATGAAGGACCAGATGCACAGCCTGGGAGTCATTTTGGACTCACAGCTGTCCATGGAGGCACAGGTCAATTCTGTGTCCAAGGCAGCTGTTTATCCGCTCCATCTGGTATGCAAGCTGAGACCCTATCTGCCAGCGGACTGTCTCACCAGAGTGGTGCATGCTCTAGTTATATCTTGCTTGGACTACTGTAATGTGCTCTATGTGGGGCTACCTTTGAAGGTGACCTGGAAACTATAATTAATCCAGAATGCGGCAGCTAGACTGGTGACTGGGAGCGGCCACCG